GCCAGGTTTATCCTGCTCCAGGCATGGCCTTGGTTTCTGCTGGAGCTCCTGGATGCTGCAGTAAATCAAGGTTTGGACTGAGCCAGGGTGATGGAGACGTGGTGATGGGTTAAAGCAGCACCTCACAATGCTGGCTCAGCCTCAGGGCTGAAAAAACCTCGAACAAGAGGCTTGGAGGAGGTTAAAATCTCCTGGGGGGCCATTAGCCCCTACCTTGTTCCCATTAGCTCTCACCTCGTTCCCTCGCATGCCACGAGGTGGCCTCGGGCACGGGGCCATGCCCGATGCTCCTAGCTCCGTCACCAACCTGCTTCCCATTATTTGGGAATGTGGCTCTTGCTGCCATATGGGAACCAGATTTTACCCTGAGGGGGAGATGGGTCTGATCCCCATGCCCTGCTCAGGGCAGGCACCACGGGGCTGTTTCCAGCTCAGGGTTATCTCCATGGTGTCTGGAAATGAAGCATATTCAAATCCTTCCCTCTTTGTGGCCAGCTGCACCCCCAAATCTGTGCTAAATTGCAGGAGGAACCTGCAAGAAGGCTCGCTCGGCGCAATTCTGGAGGCAAGACAGATGGAAGGGAAAGAAATATAGGTGAGATTAGCATCTGTCAGCTGCAGCTGGGGCAGGGAGCTGTTGTTTCGCTTGCAAAGCCCTGCTGCTATGCTGGGAGCTCGGCTTTCCGTTCCCATCGTTGTCCTGGGAAGGTCCCAGCTCCCTGTAGGAGCCAGGAGGGGAATCAAACGCATCTTGGTGCATTGGGGGGGGGTTAATGTGGCTTTTTAATCTTTTTTCCCCCTTTTTCTCAGCCACTGGTGTGGTTATCAGAGATCTCGCGTTGGGGATGGCGAGCGATTTAGTGAAGCAGTGGCTCTTTGCTGGGGGTGACGGTGGCCAGAGTGGGTGTGTGGGTCCAGCACGGCTCTGTCCCCACTCGAGCCAGCCCCCAGCCCATGGAGCCCACCCAGAGTCCCTCACAGCAGATGCAAGATTAAGCAGGAGGCTGCTTGCTCCCTCCCCAGGCACCCATAAAGAAGGGGAAGGAAGTTTTCCAGCGCCTTTCCCCCAGCCCCGCTCACCAGCCGATGCAAACATCAGGCTCCTTTCCAGCTCGTATTGCTCTTTCTTTCTTTATTTTGTTCCCTTCTGCACTAACCATAAATCAGGTCGCTCTCCCCAAGGACCATCTAATGCAGCTGATCCCACACATGAAGACCACCTTGCAAAGCTTCTTCCCTCTCTTTACCCCCAGCCTGGGATGCACGGAGGGTGGTGGGGGGAGAGGATGCTCGTCTCCCCAACCCTGGTCCTGTCTCCAGGCTCCCTTCCCAGTAGAAACCCCTCAGCTCCGCTCCTCTGCTCCTTTCCAGCCCCTTTCCCAGGGGAGGACAGGGATTAAGAGGAAGCAGATTAAACTTAATGGATTGATTGCAATTATTTGCCCTTGTTTATTTGCAGCACCGTGTGGGAGCCTTGGAAAAAAAGGACCGGGAATGTTCTTTATGTGCGCGCTGTCCTGGTCCTCATTACTTTTCCTGCTACAGAGCGACCCAGGCCAGCCAAAAATAAAACCAGCTACATCTGAGCATCCTATTTCATGCTCTTATAAATGGTGATGTGTAAATACTTCTGTGCATGAACCCACACGCAACCCCAACGCCAGCCCCATGAGGTCTCAGTTGCCTTCGTGTCCCACATTTGCCAGGGACATGGACACTCCCAAGAGCCATGGGAAGCTCTGTGGGGGAAAACCCAACCTCTTTTTTTGGGGCAATTTTTACCTGTCATTGTATCTGGGGTTTTTTTTCCCCGAAATTTGGCTTCCTAGGGACTGCGTGAGTATTTAGCATCTGAAATGTGCCCTGGATCCATCTGCCTGCCCAAGAACTGAGCCCTCCCAGTCCTTCCTGAACCCATTGCAATAACTTTTCCCCACTGAAATAAATCTGCCCAGGGTCTGGGGGGTTTTCGTAGGATCCCAGGGTTGTTTTTGTAGGATCCCAGGGGTTTTTTTGTAGGATTCAGGGGGGTCTGATTCTGCACTTTAGGGTGCTGAGGGCAGCAGTGCTAAGAGCATTGGGGTGCAGAAACAGGCACCCCTGTGCCCAAAGCAGCAAATGCTACAAAATGAGTGGACCTGAGCCTTTTAATGCTCTTTTACAGCAGCTGAAGTGACTCAGAGGGGCAGAGGGAGGAAGCTACCCTCTTTTTCTGGGTTTTTCCCAACATCAAAAGTCTTCTGGCTGAGGTCCGAGTCTCCACTGTGCGCTCCCAAGAAATCCTCCTCCACCAGACAAGATCCGACTTCACATTCCTGCAGTTTATAAGGATAAAACAGGAGGATGGGGAAATAAGAAGGAGCAAACCCACCCCCTTGAAGGCTTCGAGGCCACCGTTCCTATCACAGACTCCCAGATCTGAGTTGCTGGGGGGAAAAAACCAAGCGGGACACCAAGGTAGTGATGCTCTTTATTGGCATCCGATGGATACACAAGGACAGTGACCCACCCCCCGTGCATCGCCCCCCCACCTCATGCTGCTCACACCCCACCCGCAAACCCCCTGACTCCTACAACGGCTTCACCGCAAAAACGTCCTAATAAATCGGCACTGGTATCACAGAGGGGTGAGTGGAGAAACACACGTTCTTCGCACAACAGAAACATTAGAAAAGGACACAAAACATACCGACGAGCACTAACTTTGGCTTGGTTTTCCCTATTTTTTTTGTTTTTCATTTTACTTTTGTTTATTTTCCCCAGCCAGGGATTTGAGGCATCCCCCGGCTTCTCTTTGGATGCTGAGTTTGTCTCCGTTTCCTCAGCCCTGAGGAAATCCCTTTACTATGGCAATTGGAACCTGAGACCATGGCAATATTGTCCTGAAGAAAAGCAATTTCCAGCTGGCGAGGTACAGCCAGCTTGGCTTGTCAGGCTGAACTGGGCAGTTTGTTTTGCTTTTGATCCGGGCACTTATTCCAGGCACCCTTAGTTCGTATTTGAGTCTCTTCACCAACAAAAGGGACCGATGGAAACAACTTGACGCTAACCAACATTTAAATTCATCCAAAAGCATCCCTGGAGATGGCTCCATCTGGAAGGAGCTGGCACCTCAGATGAGGGTTTGCAAGCTGGAGGCATCCGCTGCAAGTGGGGTTGCAAATTTGGGGTGGTTTCCTTCAATTTTAGTGTCAGGAGAAGGTCAGGACTGAGACTCGCAGTCCTCCTGGGGTCAAGTGTTTCCAACCAATGGGTTTGACTTGGACCAAAGTTGTTCCTCCAAAGGGATCTTTGCTCTTTCATCTTGGCAGACCCATCCCAGAGATCCAGATCTGTGCTGTTTTATCACCCAAAGCACAGGGGACAAAATTCCCAAAAACTTTTGAAAGATCTGGGTGCTCAAATTCCATTAATGCACACTCCAATCCTTCAGAAAGCACCAAGATCTCCTTCCTGACACCCAGCAGCTCCCGCAGGAAAAGCCAAATCCTTCCACGTTCCCACATTTCTCATGGACCTGCTGCAGCAGTTTTTGGGGTGTGCACGGTTCCCTGCCTCCCCATTGAGTCTTTAAGGCCAGAAATAAGGTGGGACCGAAGGCTTGGGCTGCAAAGAGGGGCTGGGGAGAGTGCCATCACCCCATGACACATGTAGAAACATCGAGCAGTTAATAAAATAATGGCATTATTTACAAGTCTTGCTTATCTCCTTCAAGAGGGGAGGAAAATCACCTCCTGCCTTTAGGAAAAAGTTTCTGGATGAATCCAGAGGCGAAGGAGGAGTCCAGAGGTGCCCAGCACCGGCACTGCTCACCTTGGAGTCCTTGCGCTGCAAAACTCCCGGGATGCTTCAGGCAAGTGAGACACCAAAACTGGGGCTGCTGGGGTCCTCCCCCAGGACCTTGGTGGCAGCTCATGGGGAAAACAGGGTGCTCGCCCACCCGTGGGTGAGCTGGGGAGCCGATATGCCAAGAAAATGCACTGATAGCTCTGGAGGTGATGAATAATGTCCTCAGAGGGTGGTGGGGTCACCCAAGGGTGCCCTGGGAAGGCAGGCGGTGCACCAAGGGTGGGCAGCACCCGGATGGAGGTGAAGGGTCCATGGGGAGCAGATAAGGGTGTTTCAGAGCCCCTCTTCACAGTACTAGAGGAGAAGGAGCCCTTACAAGCAGAGTTTGGGGACCACCAGCCCCAGGTCTGCAGACCAGCAGGGACAGTGCAACGGTGGCAGGGTGGCTTTACTCCAGGGTTGGTGCAGTACAGGGACACAGGGGAAGGATGGGCAGAGCCCTTTCATCGTGTCCCTGCTGCGGGCAGGCACTTTTTCAGCCCTTTAGACCTTCATGGAGGTGGCACTGGCATCCAGACACCAGGTCCCCAACGTTTGGGTGGTCCCCAACCACTGGCAGCCCTGCAGAGCGTGCATGAGGACTGCACCCCCCAGAATTCACAGTGTCGGTTGGGCTGCTGGAAGCCAAGTCCTTTCCCCCAGCCCACCCCGCTGTGGGACCAGCCCCGTCCCCAAATCCCTGTACAGCAGCTCTGGTTCTCTCCATGCCCATCCCAGACCAGTTTTGGGGAAAGAAGTTGGATCACAGGGCATTGGAGGGGAGCAGGAGATAGCGGAGGTGTGGGACAAGGAGGAAGAGGAGAAGTGGAGCCCCAAGGAGATGGAGGGGAGAGAAGAGGGCTGAGCATGGCACTTGTCCCTGTGTCCATCTGTCCACCCTCACAGGGCTGCAGAGGATGCTCCTGTGGCAGATGGGCTCTGGGCATTGGACGAGACTGAGCCCTGCACCCGTCCAGCTCACAGACTGCCAGGGGAAGGCAGCTTCGGGAGGGGGCAATCCCAAAACCAGGAGCTCAGTGCATACAGGACTGTAAATTTTGGGAGCCCAGGGAGCCCCTGCTTCCTTCCCAGCCTCCCCTTCAAGGCTCTTGATGCCAGGGAGGGGAGAGGCGAGGGGGCAAAGGGGGAAGGGGACCCCACGGGGCCACCCTTCAGACGGGGGAGGTGGCGGTGGAGTCGCTGTACAAGCTCTCGGCGATGTCCCCGCGCTGGATCTTGCGCAGGGCAGCGAGCAGGGCGTCGAGGGTGGCCGTCTCCTTGGAGGACCAGTCGGCCAGGAGAGCCCGGGCAGGCGATTCCTCCTGGGTGAAGGAGTCTATGAGGTCCTCTTTGTAGCCCAACTCCCCGGCCAGTTGCCTCCACGTCTCCTCGGCCGAGCTGCCCAGCAGCTTCTCCACCTCCTCCTGCTTGCTGGGTGGCAGGTTGGCATACAGGTTCCCGTCTCCCTTGGGCACTGGGAAGGATGAAATGGGGTTAAACCCACCCCTAGGGTGCCCTTGCCCATCCTTAGGGTGCTCTTGCCCCCCCCACAGCAGCCGTTTCC